TTTAGTTTTTAAGTTTATAGAGTTTTAGAAAGAAAAGAAAAAACCATTTTAGTCATTTTTGTTTTTATTCAATGCTTTCTTGAAAGAAAAATGAAAATGAAAAATCATAAAAATGAGAAAAGAGAAAAAGAAAAAAAAAGGGAAAATTTGTTCATAAAAATATGTTTATTCAATCTTTGGACACATTAGTTATTTTTATTAAGTTATTTTGAGAAAAAGAAAATGATGAAAAATGAGAATTTGGAAATTTTAAAAAATGGCCATTTTTGTTTAGTTTCTTTTGTTTAAAATTATTTTTGTTTTGTTATTCTTATTATTACCTGGTTTGTGTAACTTTGTTATTATTGTTATTGTTATTTTATTATTTATATTTTCTGTAATCTTCAAGTTGTTTCTTAAAAAAAAAAAAAAAAAAAAAAAAAAAAAAAGGGGTCCTGCGGCATGCAAGCTGCGTTTTGCCGCAGCTTGCAAAAGGAGCATTGGGGCAGCCCTTATCTGAAAATATAGAAGAGTGCTAAGGGTTTTAAGAGGGGGGTTCCTGGTATAAATAGCAAGAGAGGAGGCAGCCGCAAATGGGGACAATGGAGCAGCAGCCGAAAGAGAGAAAACGAGAGAGCTGGGTTAGAAGGAGGAACCGAAAGATGGACGGCTGGGAAAACTGGAGTTTTTGAGAGAGTTGAGAGCAAGAGAGAGCTGGGGTTTGGCTGGTTGTAGGAAGAAAAGGGAGGATTGAAAGAAGGAAAAGGAGGAAACTTGCTGAAGATTCATCTCCCAAGCAGACGAATCAGCCTCGTTCATGGCCATTTCCAAGCAATTTCTTAGTTTTGGAGCGAGTCATCTTCTCCTGCACTCTCTGTGGACGTCAGGCAACAATTTATGTTCAGTAACCACTCTTTAAAAACACCTCCAACATGGTCAGATTGGTGCTCCAAGTTGCGGGTTCTTCAGCTTTGCGGCGGAAGTTCTCGATAGCGTCTCTGGAATCAGCGTGATCTTTGAGGTGACTTCCTTTAATCCGCCAGGATTTTGAGGTAAGATTTTTCATGAGAATCCAAGTCTGGGGAGCATGAATCTTGGGCTATTTTCGTTGCTGGTTTGGCTTCATGATTTTTTTATCATGTTTTGCTTCTTGATATTTCCCTGGTTGCTGTTTGTTTTGTGTCTCTTTAGTGTTAGATACGGGTGCCTGGTTTTAGTATTTTGTTTTGTTTGGATTTGGTTTTATGTGATCTTTGAGTTGTTGAGCCACGGAAGTTGCGGACAGCAGCAATAAAATGGTAGAAAATCGAATCTAAAAACTGCAGAATGTTATTTCTATGCTTGCATGATCATTTGTCCGAATTTCAGATGTTTAAATATAAGATTTTTGCGGCTAACAGTGGGAAATGTTTGGTAATCTGGTTCCTTCAGTCCAAGCCTTCGTTGTCTAAGTTGTTCCTTGCGTTTGGTTTGCATCAGGAAACTCGATAGTGAATCAGAAAAAAAACGCAGCATAGCTTTGGTTGAGTTACATGAACTTTTGGGGAATGTGTTCCGCTCCTTTTGTTGCATGTTCAATTGTGTTATGTTAGTCAAAGTGTTTAAGTTGTTAAATGGTGATTGAGTGATGGTTTTGTTGGCTTGTGCTTGAAGTCTTCTATGAAATCTGCATTTGAGAGTTTAAAGTTGCGGGAAAAGGCTGGATGAATGTTGAAGCAGGAAATTGTAGCAAAAGCTGTCAAGTGTTATGCATGAAAATTTTTGAACATTACACCATCTCTTCTATCCCAGATTTCCTCTATTGTGTTGTTCAGTGCGTGTGTTCATGGTGAGAATAATGAATGTTAAGCTGTAAAATTTTCTGGGTTCTTGATAGATGCACTTCATCTTTATGTTTTGCTGTCTTCTTTGCTCCCCGCAATAGCTCACAAAGCTAGTTTTAGTCATCCTTTGCTAGTTTAATCTTGTGTTGAAGGGAAAGAAGTGAAAAGCTTGGTGCTGAGTTTGTGTGTTAGGATTTAAAAGATATTTGAATCATGCCCAAGTGCTTGCTGGAAAATGCAGTTCAGTTTGCTGAACCAGAAACTCACGGCCTTGTCTTGTTGTTTTCTTACATTTTGGTTCCTAGCTTTGCTGTTTTCATTAGATAATAATTCCAGCATGTTTCTTCTTGGTTTGTTTGCATGAATGTGTTTAATTTGAATAAGGAATTGGCATGAACATGGTTGCAAGGAAAGGGATTCGTTGAAGTTATAAAATTGCAGCAACATTTTTCTTGCTTTTGCTGATAGTTCTTTCCCCTTAATGGTCAGCTCCAAATTTTTGTTTCACCCTTTCAATGAAGCTGCATGTTTAGTGGATGATGGATAGAATCTTGGTGTTGGAAAAACCTTTTTGCATAATGAATTGGATGGAATCGTGGCTGGAAATTCCCCTTATAGCCTTGAACTAAAAATGCAGCAGGTTATTTTAGTTTTAATTGCAGAAATCTAAGTCTTCTACGTATGCATGCATGCAGATGTTATAAAAATTGCCTTTGGCCCCCCCAAGTCTCCCCTTAAGCCACTAAGGCCCAGAAACTTTGAAAATTTAATCAATTGGGTCCCTTGGATTTCGCAGCAATGTACTACGGCCCGATTACTTGACTTATTTGATCAATCTTGTTACTCTATAGTCTTCATTGCTGCTGGTATGTTTTGGTTAGGCTCTTGTAAGGTTTTTTTTAGGATGAGATCAAAGGATTTCAAGAACTTTATGGGATAATTTGGCTTTATGTGGAATTTGGATGTTTTTGATGATTTTAATCACAATAGTTGGGGCTTTATTTCATGAATATGGAATGCTTAGGCATTTAAATGCTTCTAACCGGTCAATTCCATGTTTATGTGATTGCTTGACCTTGGCTTTGTTTTGAGACCCTTGAAGTTCCCAAAAACGTTCATTTAGGTTTGAGTGCTTGGTTATTTGTCTCAATTTGGTCCTTGGTGATTTTTAATTCTACAACTTCATTGCTTATTGCTTCAATTCATGGTTTAGTGGCTTTAGGATCATGTGAGCTTGGTATTTACACTTTTCTTTTAATTTTTCCCAAATAAATTGGTACCTTGACCATTTCTTTTATTTTGGAGGATAAATAAGCCATTTAAGTCTTGTCCACCGTATTAGCACCACAAAAGGAGGCGGTATAATTTCTTTTATCTTTTTTGTCACTTCTATGTGAACCAACGTGCTACGTGCGAAATACATGTCTACTTTGCTTTCCTAGCCTTTCTTTAATTTCTTTTATTTATGTCATTTACTTTTGCTTTTTATTTAAATTAGTTTTTATGGGGTATGTGTACACCTCTTGGCTTGTAATAGATAGGGCTTGGAGGAGCATTCAATGAAGACCTATCGAAGACGTGTGCCTAGCTAGCAAATGTAATAGTTAGGGCTTTAATTGCCTATGTGTTGTGTGTTACTTGCTTTAATTAGGTTCTTGCATCTAGTTGAGCATGCTAAGTGTTATGTGCTATGTGTTTATAAGTGTTTGGCATGTCTACTCGCTTTCCATAGCTACGAATGAATGTAATGGATGAATGTACGTTTCCACTAGTCCAATGCTAGTCGGAATTCATTGAATGGGCTAGTCCAACGCTAGACCCTTAGGGATTTCCCCTCGTTAGTACATCATTTGCTTGTTCACCACATATCACGCATTTTTCCTTAGTTTATCATTTGGCATGTTCCTCAAACCCCTTCCCCTTCACTTTAGGACTTGCATCTCATGCTAGTTAGGGTTCATTTGCGTGAAAATCCCCTCTTGATAAGGGAAACGAGCGAGTGTGGCTACTCGATAGCCTTAGCACGCTAGTTTTACCTTCTAATCCGAGGGAAAATCAAAGTCGAAAAATTAGGCGTCATCCCCGTACCCAATTTGTTGCATTCCCTTAGGGACATACTTTCATTTTTTTTTCTCACTTCCATGTTCTTTTAATCACCCTTTTTCCCACATTTCTCAATCCATATTTTTCACTATGTTTTACTCATCTTACTCCACAAGTAGAACTCAAATTTCACATATATATTTATAATCCTATCTTCATTCATTTGCACACACTAATACCTTGATTTTTCATCCAAATTCACACGTGAACTTTCTTTACACATGCGCACACAAACACTTTGTTTTTACACCATTTCATACATGAATCTTTTCATACACTTGCACACTTGCACTTGAGTCACCATTTGCATCAATCGACCTCTATGAGGTTTCCCTTTATTGGCCGCCACAATTCATGTGGTCTGGGACCAAAAACCTCACGAGAGACATCGTAGAATTTAGGATTGCATTTTTCCGTTTTTGCATTCATATAGGCATAATCCGACATGCAATACATACCCTGGGTAGAAAGTTAGGGAAGTTAGGGTTAAGTCACGCAACTAGCCTTGGCTAGGTCAAAGGGGTGCCTTGGAGTCTATCCTTGCCTTCCCCTTTGTCAAACGTGACTCCCGAACCTTTTTCTTTGTTTTACGTAGACTAGGAGTCGTTTTAAAAAGGGTTTATTACTACTTGACTTTAAAACTCATTTTTAGGTGACTTGGTACAGCTTAAATCATTACCAAGTGGCGACTCCAAACTTTTCATTTCAAAACCCTTTTTAAAACTATTTTTTGGGTCGAATCGTCGCTTTCCAAGTCCCATTGAGACCCATGTCTTTTCAACTCACAAAAATCATTTTCCAATCAAAATTGAATTAAAAACATCTTTCTCAAACCATTTATTTTTCTTATCAAAAAATGGGGCGCGACACCTGCTTGCTTTATTTGATTGCCACATCAACGTGGAAATCTGTTCTACTCTTAAACTTGTAAAGTACTTGTATAAGTATGTTTTCAAAGGACACGATCAGGTGAGCTTTAGGATTATATCGGGTGAACCAGCAGATGATATAGATGAAATAAAAGACTTTCAAAAAGGTCGATGGGTTTCACCTTCGAAAGCTTTTTGGCGCATTTATGAATTTAGACTCAATGAAATGACCCCTGCAGTTTACACCCTCCAGGTTCACCTTCCGGACCAGCAATTCATTTCGTTTGACAAGAGCTCTGACTTGGTGCAATTACTGAGTAAAATTGACTTTTCTAAGACGATGTTAACTCAGTTTTTCCACATGAATAGAACAAATCCTACAGCACAGAATTTGAAATGCTTGTACAGAGATTTTCCTGAACATTTTGTTTGGTCTGCTAAATATAAAGAGTGGACTGAAAGAAAGCGTCGAAAGGTGATTGGTCGGATGGTGACTATTAGTCCAAGGGAAAGAGAGAGGTATTATTTGAGGTTGCTTTTGACGCACATTGCTGGGCCGACCTCTTTTGAAGACCTTTTGACTGTTAATGACCAGAGATTAGCTTCATTTAGAGAAGCTGCTTTGGTCCTCGGCCTTTTGCAGTCCGATGCGTATATAGACGAGACGCTACAGGAAGCAGTGGCATTCCAGATGCCGTGCTCATTGAGGTTATTGTTTGCCACTCTCCTTGTGTATTGTTCTCCAACAGATCCTAGATCACTTTGGGAAAAATTTGAACCTGAGCTTTCTGCTGACTATCATTACCAGCAGCCATTCGATGCCCTTTCTTCTCCTGAAATTAGAAGAAAAGTTTTGCAAGATATTAACACTTTACTAGAACAAATGGGCAAAAGCATTGCTGATTTTCACTTTGTCTCTGATGAGCTTTCACCTGGGTACACTGAGAGGTTGACAAAAGAGATTGAAACTGAAAGGAACTTAGTGGTGACACCCGATGACCTGTTGTTGCCTCAGATGTTGAATTCTGACCAAAAACATGCCTATGATCTAATCATAAAAGCATGTTCTTCCTTAGAAGGCCAAGCATTTTTCGTTGATGGCCCCGGCGGCACAGGCAAAACTTTTTTGTATCGGGCACTTCTCGCAACTTTGCGATCACAAAACCATGTTGCACTTGCAGTAGCAACGTCTGGAATTGCAGCATCGATCCTTCCTGGCGGAAGGACGGCTCACTCGAGGTTCAAGATACCACTTGATTTCTCAAAGACTAAGAATTGTCAGCTTAGTAAACAAAGCTCTGCTGCAAAACTCATTTCTGAATCTAAGCTTATTTTGTGGGATGAGGCTTCGATGGCTAAGCGGGACACAATTGAAGCATTTGACGAGCTGCTGAAAGATTTAATGGACTCTGATTTGCCATTTGGAGGAAAGGTAATAGTTTTTGGAGAAGATTTTCGGCAGACTCTACCCGTCATTGAGCAAGCAACTAAAGAAGTCCTCATAGGGTCGACCTTTCCTGTTTCTCCTCTGTGGCCTAAACTACGTAAAGTCATGCTCACAGAAAATATGCGCGCTATGCTTGATCCAGGATTTGCACAGTTCCTTTTAAGAGTAGGAGAGGGAAGGGAGCCTGTTGATGATAAGGGTGAAATAACTTTACCATCAGATATAGTTATTCCTTATTACGATAAGGAGGAATCTTTAAACAGGTTAGCTTGCTACATATAACCAAGCTTAGTGTCTTTTTAATAGTTACTCCTCCTATTTCCATTATCAATGAACCTTCTTTTACACAGGTTAATAGAAAGCATCTTTCCAGATTTGAACCTCTATTCGCAGGATCCTTATAGCCTGATAAATAGGTGCATCCTTGCTCCTAAAAATAGCTCAGTTGATGAGCTCAATGAAATAATGATTAGGAAGTTTCCTGGAACCCTTCAAACTTATACTAGCTCGGACAAAACTGTTGATCAACGGCACCAAGGCGATTATGAGGACTTCCTCAATTCTCAGAATCCTAGAGGTCTCCTCCCTCATAAGCTGCTGTTGAAGGAAAACTGTCCGCTAATGCTTCTAAGAAATTTAAATCCAGCTGAAGGTCTATGCAATGGCACAAGGTTAATATGTCGAGAACTTGGGCAGCACACAATTTCTGCTGAGATTGTTTTTGGCCATCATCGAGGCAAGAGAGTTTTTATTCCAAGGATATCTCTTCAAACGCCTGACAATGACAAAAATGGGATTGCATTCATAAGAACGCAATTTCCTGTCCGCCTTTGCTTTGCTTTGACTATCAATAAATCGCAGGGTCAAACTCTTGACTACGTCGGCATCTATCTACGAGAACCAGTTTTTTCTCACGGCCAGTTGTATGTTGCTCTATCCAGAGCTAAGACCGCTGCCAAAGTTAAAATTCTTCTGGTTCCTGGAACATTTGATGACACAAAAGTTGATTGCAAAACTCGTAATGTTGTCTTTGACGAAATTTTTAGATTAGCTCAGGCCTAGACCATTTTCTGCTTGAATTATACTAAAGTAAGATGCTTATGCAGATTTGCTTTTGTTAGATTGCTGTGTTCTTTGAACTTTTAGTTCCTGGTCATTTATCCATCGACTTATGTGTTTATAGGATGGCTGACTTACTGCCAATGCGAGATATTATGCCTCACATGAAAAATTGGAGCTGTATCATCACTGTTCAGGAAAAACAACAGATCACAGGCTCAATGGGAACACCAACAAAAAAGCATAAATTTATTTTCTACGATTCAGAGGTTAAGCAAAGCCACTCTTCGGTTTTAGATCTAATTATTTAAACACACTATTCTTTTGCTTTCCTAATCCTGTATTAATTTCATCTCTTTAAGTAGGGATCAAGGGTTGAAGGAATCATCTTCAATGATGACATTCATAGAATGAGCCAGATCTTGCAAGTTTATAAAAAATACAAAATTTCCAATGCTGAGGTCAGACCTATACCGTCAAAATTCCAGACATCTGAGCTTACCGTTCAATGGGTTATTAGTAGCAGGACTGTTATCGACGAAATTGCTGATGATGATGAAATTATGCCTGTTAAATTCTGCTATTCAAAGTTTACTGACTTAGTTCAATACATGGATGACAAAACTAGATCAGTAGGTGAGTCTTTCAATACTTTACTCTTAATGTGTTTGCATTCTGAAAAAAGTTCTTTACCAAGATTTTTTCTGTATTGTGCTTAGACGTGCTGGGAGTTGTGATCAGCGCGCTTGAGAGGAAAACAGTTATCAAGAACTCAAGGCAATCAGATGTTCAGAAATTTGTCCTGCTTAACGAAGAGTAAAAGCTTTAAGCTTCAGTTTAGGCAAAAGTGCACGCTGCCTTTTCTTTTTTTCCTCTGCAGTTGCTTTTTCCAGTCTGATTGACTATTACCTCTTACCACGAACACAGATCACAGCCGGTGCTATTGTCTCTGTGGGATACTTTCCTGGGTAATGAGGGACAGGAAATTGTATCTAAACTTCACAGCTATCCTGTGATCATTGCTCGCAGAATCAGAGTGAATAACTATAATGGTTTGCTCCCATTTTTTTCCCCAAGATTTTTACCGTTTGCATTTTGTATTTGTCTGCAGTACCTGTAAACAAATGTTCCATTTCTTTTCGTCATGTAGGGGTCGCACTTGGTACTTGGTTTGATTCAGCAATTCTTGTTGATCCACCTATACAAGAAGCAAGGGAACTCAAAAACTGGTACACTCTATTTCCGGTCATCGTCCTCTGCACAATTTAGATCTAAATGCTGTCCTGACTTTGAGTCCTGACATTCTTTATTTTCCTTTCACCCAGGGCATTGAGGAACACTAAGTTGATTAAGGAGATTGTCGAAAAAAAGGACTATATTAAATATAATCCACAGCTATCCTTAAAATCAGACCAGAAAACCACCTGGATTTGCAACATAACTTCATCACAAAAGGTTTAGGAGTAAAACATGCTGCGCTGCTTTCATACTTTTGTCGTGCATGATAACTATTTTATACTCACAGTTGCTCATCTTTTAGACTATATGGGTGAAGGCACAATTCTCTTTTGAACACATCTTCCAAAAGTATTGGTACATGAGCTGTAAAAATTGTTGCCGAGCTACAGCAGCAGACTACCAAATTGAGTTTACCTGTAACTCATGCAAAGAGAGACACCCTGCAGTGCCTAGGTGCTAAATATTCTGCTTGTAATATATCGTTTCTGTTAATTGTTTTGTAATGCTTGTTCATATCAAAAAAACCACTTGCTGCATATTGTATACCTGTTTTCAGATGCCGCTTTGATGTTGATTTAACCGATGACACCGGTGTGATACCAGCTTCAATTTTTGGCGAATTAGCAGAGCGCCTGCTCACGTTTAGTGCACTGGAAGCAATGCAGCACTTTAATGAGGTTTTTACTCCTAAATCTTGCTAATAAAAGTATTCTATGCTTTTTACTCATACTTTTCGTTCTCTCGACAGAATGTTGAACTTCCCCTCGAATTTGTCCACAAAGAGCTTAAATCAAAGATGTTTCTGCTTCACATCAAACCTGTGTAAACACAGCTCGCAGATGCAAGGCAGCGGTACACAATTATATACTACTCTGAAATTAATGGTGATGCCAATTCTGCCCAGTTAACAAGTGAGACGAAAGATGACTCTCCCTTTCCTGGCAAAGAATCCGGCACTATACAGCTCGCAACTCCAGGTAACTCACAAACATCTGGTTTTTAGTTTTGCATTTCTATTTTACTCCAAATAAATAATATGACAAATCAAAAAAAATATGATCGCAGAGGAGAATAGTGTTCGTTCAAAGGTTTGTGTTCGCCTTTCTGAAAGGTTTGATGGACCACAAAGCACTGAAGCAAATGAGGATGAAAATGCAGAGTGCAGCTCTACCAAGAAGCAAAAAACCAACTGACTTGTTACTGTTGGGTCTTTTGTCCACCTAATTCTTAGGTTCTATGCTTACCATACTATCATATATTTTTGCAAAGTTCCCTATGCATTCCTGGAAGGATCATTGATGTATTAATGAAACATGTACTTTTGTTCATAGATATCCCTTAGACTGTTTTTGATCTGCTGCCTTTTACGTTTGCTGATGACCTGCAATCAGCACCAGCTATGTATTTGAATTGATGATTTATGACTATTATGTGCTTGTTACAGTAGCCTTTAAATTCACCTTCTGCTCTATTCACCTCATTAACTAACCTTCTACTGAATCTGCTAGCTGTTATATTAATGAAACATGTACTTTTGTTCATAGATACCCCTTAGACTGTTTTTGATCTGCTACCTTTTACGTTTGCTGATGACCTGCAATCAGCACCAGCTATGTATTTGAATTGATGGTTTATGACTATTATGTGCTTGTTACAGTAGCCTTTAAATTCACCTTCTGCTCTATTCACCTCATTAACTAACCTTCTACTGAATCTGCTAGCTGTTATACACCAAATTTTGCAGAACACCTTTATCAAAACCTGTTCAAGCTTTCCCCTGCACATAGCTCTCTTACTAAATATCATACCTACTATTATGAGTTCCTCTTACTCTGAAGCTAAAGCTCACACTTCGTGTATCCATTAGCTTTAAATTGTGTAGCTGTGCAGGCTTAAATTCATTTCCAGAGGCACAACTTTTTCCCTCGGTCAAAACTGTGTATACCCTTGCTTCATTTGAAACACAGTGAATAAAATAGATGCACAGTGGTAACAATCACTGGACTTTCTCTGCATTAACTTCTTTTATTATTAACCAGTTCTGCATCTTTGATGTGCCAAATCATTAATGCCCTTAACTGTCAACAAATAAATGCCAGCTTACATATACAGAAATTCATTTTTTTAAAAAACTATTAGCCATCGATTGTTTATATATAACTACTTCAACAAATCATACATCCCAGCAGAGCACTACAAGTTAAGTTCCGTACTTGCTTCTCTCAAATCATCTATAGCATTCAGTTATTTTCTTTGCCCTCATATAATTACATCTTTCACATTTTTCTTTAATTATCTTGTCGAATTAGATCAATGGCGGAAGGTTCGTCTACCTATGAATTGACAACTACCAGCTCGATCCCCTGTTGTTTTCTACTGAAATGCAATCACAGAGGAGAGGTTTAATTTTCTTCTATATGATGGAAAATATTTGTTAGCCACGTGCTGTCCAGTTATATAACTTCATTTGACATTTCTATTTTCCACTCCTCAAAACGCAGATTCTGCCTGCTGAATTCAGGCTATTGCTTACTCAGCACCAACGCAACGCAATTATTCTCAGGCATGGAATTTATAAATGGCCTGTTGTGGTTGGTGAACGTTCATTTGAACAAGGCTGGGATGAATATTGCCGTGACAACATTACTAACAGACATGATATATTGCTTCTCCGTCATACCGGCAATCTCATATTTGATGTCGTCCATTTTTCCGAGCTGCAAAAACAGGTTTACCTGTCTTGGACAGTGCCATTACCAAATTTATTCCAGGCCAATACTAATCATGCACAAGGTCAGTTTATCCTTAACTTTCTATCTGCTGCTTCTAACAAAATTATCTCTGATTTATTATCTGCTAAATAACTCCAGCTTGTGCAGATTCTATGATAATTTCGCAGTCAGTTGCTTCATCAGCCAAGCCAGATTTAACCCAAACTCTCACTGATTCGGTTTCCTTCTACCAAACTTTTAATACAGCAACACCAAACACATTGGTAACCTATCCTTGCACTGTTTCTTTTTCCTATATATTCTGTTCTCACATCTCACTTTCGTTCTTTTCTATTAGAAAATCCCAAGATTCGTCGATCACTTTGTTAATGGACACAAAACTCCAACCCTTCTTATTAGAACTGGAGAGAAACTTACACAGGTTGGTGTGAAAGGGAAAAAACTAAAAACAAATTGGAGAAGCTTCGTTCTTCAGCATCAGTTGCAGCACAATGACATCCTTGTCTTCATTCCAGAATCACCAACTACCTTCACAGTTTTAGTATTTGATGATAATGGAGTCGAGAAAGTCTTTCCATGGTCTTGCACCTTCAAAGTTTATTCTAATTGTCCTCATTGTACGTAACTTCTGCAACATGCCTTTCTCTATAAACTAAGTTCGCTTTTCTCTTCAAACTCTTCATCGCACATTGTTTCAGTTTTTAATACCATTGAAGCAAACACTACATTCAGGCTCAATATGGCTATATTTCACTGAAATCAAGCATGCAGCAAGTACATTACAAATACCTAGCATCTATTATTGCTGCTCCTTTTTCCCACATAATCAATAATTAATCAGTAACTAATTTCATATAAATGGCCTGTTATGCCATGAAAATCAAATACACTAGCCATTCCACCTTTCTATTTATCAAAATGGTTATTTGATTCTCCGATCAATAAACTTCGGTTAAGAAACATTTCCGTTGACTGTGGAAATAGATTGTTGTATACAAAATCCTTGCTTCGTACCATACATCGCACTTCCATTCTCTTATCCAGAGTTGTCGCGTTAGTTTGTCCAATTTTCATGTTACATACAAAAAATTAAATAAACAATATACAAAGGCTTGAACAACATCAAAATTAATGCTTGTTGTAGCTTTGTAACCAACACAGACAAATCAATCCTCCACAGAATAATAGAAAATTTAGAAGTGTTTACTCATTGTTTAATATTTAAAAACCTCCCATTTCCTTCTTCGCACAGTTCGTCCCATGTCTTCACGAAGTAAAATCATACTCGTGAGCTTCAATTTTATTCGACTCAATTGTTTTCTTTTCGTCCTTTTTCTCAACACCATGTTAAATTCAAACATTAATTTACTCGCGTTTTCTTACAACATTGTTTTTTAAAAAACTTAATTGTTTTATACCCAAATAGCTTAAATGCAATACGTCCGATTTATGATATCTTCACTCAAAAATCAGGGCATTTTCTGGGTAACATTTAATTAACACCGTGCATCGCGCGGTGATCCCTCCTAGTAGAATAACAATCATATACCGTTGGCGAAAATGTTAACCAACCTGTCAAGGTCCAGATTTCAAACCCCAACCTTGGTCACTCAGATATCCTGCCCTTGTGCACGTTGGGCCTTTTTGGTTATTTGATTCTCAAATCATCTGGATTGTAAGTAATTTTCAAAAACTCCGGCGTCCATCAAAAAAAAAAACAAAAACACTCCGGCGTCACGAGGGCATGTAGACAATATCAGCATAAGAGGATTTTGAAACAGCTAAAGCTACCCGCGGCTAAAATCATTACCAAGTGTGAGAAATTGGCATTGGAAGTGAAAGACGGCTAAACGTATGCACCTCGTAAAAAAGGTGCATCATCAATAATTACTATTCGTCTCCAATCATAAAAGACATAACTTGAACCGAAAAAGAAAAAGAGTGTGCAGCTCTTGACCGAACACACGTCAAATAATTAGAACTTGCTGATAGCAAAAGTATAATAAACCAGCAAATGGCTTTCTTTAGCTTCCTCACATCTTTGGCCCTCTTGAGATGAGTATATCCCCATATGGCTTCTTCTGCTGAACTCTGATGACGTCTTGGGTAGCTAGAACTGCCAGCAGAATTGCCTCGTCTTATTTTCGAGTAGACAAGATGCGTTACAAATGGAATACGTTTCAAAAGGATGACAAGTAACATGCGATCAATGAAACATACCACAAGTCCGTAAGAAAAGAGCTGCTGCCCTTTTCTTATCCATTCCTCTAGCCAGCTGGTTCAAAGATTCTGCTTCAGAAGATCCTGGTGTTTCAAAATGAGCCTTCAGCTGCCTGTAGACGCCGTGTTCCAAAAGAGAATGAATTACACAAACTATATACTCAAAGTCACGAGTAAAGAGAAGAAGATTATTCAAAAATATGATTGCAAAGTCTTGCATTTGAATCGAACGAGTGATCTGATCATTAGTTTGACCAGCAATTGGATGTTTCTGGGTTTGCGTTGGTCCAGTTTCCACCATAAGTTCTGCAAAGATAGACAGCAACATCATATAACACGCATGCCAAAAACAACGGCTAAAACCACCACAATTAGCCAATTAGGAAGGAACTCTTGATAATTGATCACCATTATCTGGTATAAGACCATTTTCAGATAGTCTAGACAACTTGAAGTTTGGATGCGACGAGTTCTCCTCTGCCACCGGTTCAAGGCCATAAACTCTGTGCCTAGGTGAAGAGTGTGGTCTTTTCATGTTGGACCTGAACATTTGTTTAGCTATATCAGCCCCTTTTTAGCACAAAATAGTTTGAAGCTGCACTGCATCCCAAACATTTTGTGCTTTTATCTTGCAATTTTAATTTACAGTCTGCCTTAATACTACTGACCTTGCCAAATTGACTTCTGAATCATTTGACAGGAAACCATGACCAGACCCCGAGCTCGGGATCGATCTTACTTCATCACCTGCATATTCCAGTGAAACAACGTCGCGTTTGTCAGGAGTGAAAACAAATCATCCCATAGGCACGAGAAATAAGAACTTGGATGCAAATATACTGGAATCTCCTGGTGTTGCCATCAGGTTGCTCTGACTGAGGGCCCCTATGTAAGCCCCAGAAAATGGCACTTTGGTATTTGCAGTATCAGTTCCTATCTCCTCCATAAGAATTTCAGGTTGCATGCTTATGTCATGATTTGTCCTCTGCTTCTCGATGGAAATTTCCTCAGTTTGAGAGCCAACACCACTATGAAAATCTTCAATGGGCTTCACATTCAAACACTTTGTTAGATGCAATCACATAATTCTTTTCCTAGAAGTTTAATATATAAAAGCAGTGGCTTACATAACCAATTGGATCTCGTTTATGTATTCGCTCTGGTTGAGATGACGATGATGGATCAGGGGGTTGACGTGTCCAAGTCCCACCTGTTTGCAAGAGAATGTTAGGTTCAAGCTTTTGGAGGGAGATCTTACATAATCATGTCAAAAAACCCACCCGAAGCTGAATCATGAGCTGGCTGGGTACATTTTTTCCATAGTTCAAGAAGAGGAGCAGGAAAATGCACTTCTCTGTTCCCATAAGTGAATAATCCATCATGTAGAACGGTAAGAGGAAGTTCCGTGATATTTGCTATCTTCCTTTTGGACATGGCACCTGATCGCTGCTAGAAACATAAAATGCTAATTTTATTTCTAGTAAACTTCAAAAATAGAGAAATCAGGAACCCACTAATTTTAAAATTCCAGTTATTTCCTATTGAAAGGAAGCATTGTGTTTCTTTACACTATTCTTTCTTCTTCTTGAGGTAATATCGGAGGTGTTCTGAAGCCAAGATTGATATACGTGACCAGGGATAATGGTTTGCTCACAGTCCATTGCCATGGCAGCAGGCTGCCTTGCTCTCTTTCGAGTTGGACCTTGCCTTAACTGATCCTGCTGATGTATAAATATATTCACGTCTCAGATTGATAAAATTCATGTTCAGCTTCATCATCTATTATATTCATGAAGCAAATTACACCACTCAAAATGTCAAACACCTGAAGAACTTTCTTGTCTTTAGCAACCTGCTGATTTACTTGGGCCTCAGGATTGTGATCCTGTACTTCATCAGCTGCAAGAAGCTAGTGATCAGTAATACTGAACATCTTGTCTGTTTCTTTTCATCAATATACAATTTAGCATTGGAATTGTTTTCTATTTTCATTCTTAGAACTTCACTTCCTCTCGGCATATATAGTTCTCTATCCGAAGAAAATTTTAAGGATCAAGACAATTGGGTTCTATAATTCTTTAATGTTTAGAATAGACATTTGGTTAGAAAATGTTCTAATTTCAGGAACAACTATGCTACAAACCAATCTATTGAAATCCTTAGCAAATATTGTTATTTTCTAAAAATACTTTCAGTTTTCCTTTCCTTGCTCTTTTTAATTTCAGAATATCTCTTTGAAATGTGCTACAGCCATACCGCTAATTTTTACTCTTGCCCTTGATAGCTATTTCAAGAAATGGAGTCAGGAGACTGCAAGTTCTCCAGTAGCATTGTCAAATGGAATTGAAGATTATTATGTGCAACCGTAGGTAATAGCTGTTTAGGTTACATAATGATTGCAAAATAAAAAAGAAGCCTGTTTAGGTAGCACATTTTCCTGTTACCTATATCAAAATGATTAACTCTAATATAGGGAAAAAAAAAAACCAACAACAACAACATTCTGTCCACTTTCCATGGTGGTACAAGAACCTCAATTTTATACCCTTGAGGATACGTGCAGTTGCAAATGCATTACAAATTAAGATGGAGAAAGAAAAACACGAAGATGAAATGATGAAGTTATTCTGTATGCAGATGCTAGCATTAGAAAGCAAACAGAAGCATTTGCTGTTGCTTACATGGATAGGGTTTGTCTTGAGGAGGTGGAGAAGGTACAAGAGTACTAGGAATAGTAGCATGTTCTGAAGCTGCAAAGTTCAATTGTGTGTCCTCATCTCCTTCAATATCAAACCTGTACTTCCATGCAAGGAAATGAAGAAAAGCAATAATTCAGTGGTGAAGTTATCAAGCAGCCATTGATCAGGCTGAAAACTGCAATATATAAACTCAACTATGGAAGAGGGCATTTTTAATTGAGAACCAAATGAAACAGCTCAACTTGGAACTAAAGTTTACCTTTCAAAGCGGTTATGCATGATTGTGTCCGCCATAGATGGATCATGGCTATCAAATAAAGTGATATCAGCTGGATTAGCTGAGAAAGAAAAGGCCAAACCGACCCACCATTAATTGGAAATTGGACGTCAGTTCAACAGAAAAATGGTTACTATATGCCAACGACAAATTGTAATGGATCAAAGATACCTTGATGGTCATCCTGCGGAAGATCCTCCTCCGGATTTGGATTGATGTAGGAATCATCCATGTTATCCAGCCTCTGCAGACAAAGTTTTAAGAGTTCAGCTCCACATCTGAGCTAGATGAATTACACTAACGCACCACATAATAAAAGTTACTTGCACTTCCTGGTTATGTTTTGTCATTAAAGACAACTCACTTCACATATCCGAACAA